CTTGTCCTATTGTCCCTTTCCTTCCAATGGAGTCTGACATGTGATAGTTAAAAGCTCTGCTTCTCTCCTTGTCTGAATAGAAGGTATTTAAGCTTGCAGGGATCTAAAATAAAAATGGTTGAAGGGAGGGCAAGGAAAAGAGACTGCATACTTTAGAGAATCGCTTCATTTTCCACAGTGGTGGTGGATCAACAGGAGCTGAGTGTCTTCGAAGGAGAGATGCATTTGTTTCAAAAACTTTACCACAAAGACTCTGCCATCAAAGAAAAGAGAGAGAGAAAGAGTCAAATTGCGCCTGCATAATATTATTACTTAGCTTACTTGCTCTTTGATTTTATCCCTTTGCCTTTTCTCTGCTTCTCTTCTCTCTGTCAGCCATTTCTCACCATATCTGTCCTCAAGCAGCTCAAACAATGGAGTAGAAGGTCTTGTCGATACTCCAAATGTCATCCCTTCTGGCGGATAGCGAGATTTTCCAAGTTGTGAGTCCCGATCTTTGTCTCTTCGTCTTATATCGTGACAAGCTCTGAACTGGCTTTGCTCCTGGGCTGTAGTGAGGTCATTCTGAGCTGCCATTTTGTTAAGAGCTATGAAGTCCTTCTCTGGTGTTTGGTTTTGTCTAGCAAAAGAACCTTTTGCTGCATGCCATATTGAAACAGCTGCAGGAATGAGAGAGAGAGAGAGAGAGGGAAAGTGAGAAGATTTTGTATGCAATGAATGATACCACGTGACCATGTTATTGCACACGGGCCTGTGACATTAAAGTATAAAGGAGTACTAATTTCTTACCAGCTGGACAGCAAAAGGACAGTTGTAGAGTGATAGCGCCTCCTGTACAAGCTGATGAAGGCAGTGATTAGTGTATTTCATTTTTGATTTTTGTATTTTAATCCTCCTTTTTGATCAGATTATGATACCTGCTCTGCTCCTGTAGTGAGGGAATGGAGTATGATGGAGAGCAAGTAAATATAAAGAGAAATTATAAAATAAGAAGACAACTTTAAAAATAAAAAAAGTAATAGAAAAAAGAGTACAGTGGGGCCACCAATAATGAATCTTATCATTAACTTTTCCAGCTACTAGTAGCTGACAACTAATACTATTGATGGTCACAGAAGACTAAGTAGGTTAACTGTGATTTTCCATAAAAGTAGCTAACTAATTCATTAATTTGAATTCCATGCAGTCCTTGTTAAGCTCACATACAGTCTAGTAAAATGTTAAAGATGTTCATCTTTATGTTGTTGTTGAATACTAACAAGTACTAACTAAAGGACTCAACAAAACAACACTCTACACTTCTCAAACTAAACCCTGTTAGTACTACTAGAGACTATGAGGAATCAGTTAAGAGTCTAATGTACAGAGGAATTGTCAATTAATTATCATTTCAATTCTCTACAAAATCAAATTAAGAGTGCAGCAATCATGCGTGGCATAATTTGGTGGTGTATAGTGATGCACTGATACACATTTTTGAAATCGATATTAACCAGCTGATTAATTTGTGAAAATTTCATTAAAATGGCCGATACCGATACTTTTATGAAAATGTTTTAAGAATAAAAATAGTCATTTGTTATTCTTAACAATAATCATTGATTAGTGTCATTAATATTTATAGTCAAAATTTGGTAGGTTCTTTTTTAAAAACAGTAGCATCTCTTCTTTCTCTGTACTCAAACTGTTTTTTTTCATGTCATTTTGTGGGTGCAATCATTATTTTTATTAAGAATTATTATACTTATCAACAGTTCTTATATCAGTAACTCTTTTTGGCTATGTACCAATATCAACACTAGTGCATCACTAGTGGTGTATCTAAACAGCAGAAATTTACCGGTAAAGTATTTACACTATCATGTTGCAAATACAACTGCTCATTCAATAGATGGCTTGAATTCCAGTTCTTGTCAAGCTCACGTACAGTCTAGTAAAATTTCAAAGATGTTCATCTTCATGCTCTTGTTGCTGTGTTTAATAGTTACCACTGATGAAGGAGAAGGATCTTATTGTATGGCTGATTGTACTGGATATGAACATGAACCATCACTGTATCTAAGAGTATGCTGTATCATTAGTAACTTAGGACAGACTGTTACCATTAGAGGAATTGGTAAAACAAGATATATTCTATGTCCTAAAGTACAACCAAAGTCTTGTCCACAAGGTACTGTACATAACTGGAATAATTCATGATATACTTATTGTAGATAACAGAGACTGTAAGAGCTTGTTTGAGACTGGTTCTGATATAAGTGGTGTCTATACTGTTAATCCTGATGGAGGGACTCCATTTCAAGTTAGTTGAAAGTAATTTATAATTATACACTATTGGATCACAGGTATACTGTGATATGGAGACTGATGGTGGTGGATGGACTGTATTTCAGAGGAGACAAGATGGATCTGTTGATTTCTATAGATACTGGACTGACTATGAGAATGGATTTGGTAACCTTACTGGTGAGTTTTGGTTAGGGTTGAGCAAGATTCATCGTCTTACTAAAGAAGGATCAAACACACTAAGAGTGGACCTGGGAGACTTTGATAATACACAGCTTATGCTAACTACTCTACATTAATGT